GCAGATGCCGCATCCATCCAGTTCAAGCAAGATTACTGCAACATCCGATCGAGGACACACCTGTCGATCGTCGGCAAGTGGAACGCGGCGCGCTTGTACGCGGTGCACAGGGACGTCATCAAGCCAAGGCCAACGGCAGACCAAGCGACCGCAGCAGATGTCACCGAACCGATGCTGTGGCGTGCGCTGCGGCCATGTCCCCTGGAACTCGATGTCAGCAATGATCAAGGCCACGAAGGGAGGACCTACTAACCTGAAGTTGCCGGACAGCCTGCCGTGCAAAGGCTGCATCCGCGGCAAGAAAACTCACTCGTCGCCGCCCAAGGACGGCGATTGCCCGCGACACAAGCTCGGCACGTGCGTCCACACAGATCTCTGGGGACCAGCAAAGGTCGAGTCACACAACGGCGCCAAGTATTTTGTGTCCTTCCGGAGGACGCCACGAACTACGTCTGGGTCAAGTTCCTGCGCAAGAAGAGCGACACGTTCGCCGCCATGAAGGAGTACATACCATGGCTCGAGCGGCATTCGGGCACCAAGCTAAAGACCATGCGGTCTAACAACGGCGGTGAGTTCATTGGCGACGAAGTGGAAGCCTACCTGACGGAACGGGGTATCCACCACGAGACGAGTACGGCGGACCGGCAGTGGCAGAACAGCACAGCCTAGCGGATGAACCGCACCTTGGTCGAGATGGTCCGCACCATGATGCTCCACTCCAACGGCTTCAACCGTTGGTGGGCGGAGGCCGTGACTTCCTACGCAACCGTGTCCCCAACACCTAGTCGGACGGCAAGACGCCACAGGAACGATTGCGCGGCACGACCCCCAAAATAGGCGACCTAAATATCTTTGGTTGGTTGCGTCTGCCACCGACACGTGACCCCAAAAACAAGAAAAGCAGCTGCACGAACAAGTGCCTCTTTGTCGGGTACAACAGACAAAGAATGCCTACAAAGTTTATGACTTAAAGGACGAAAAGTGGTGTACTATGTCGTTACGAGAATCAGTTTTTGCGGCCCAAGTCGGTACTCACGGACGCCGACGGCGTCCAAGTGACCAAGACGGAAGGTCAACCGGTGGATGACCAGCCACTCGCTGATGACGGCGACGACAAGAACAACCATCGCGGACGCCAGCACAAAACACGCCCAAGAGTGACCCACCACCGACGCCACGTGGCCAACGACAGCCACCACCGACGCGGTATGCGCGGTATCCGCCGTGGGTGCTCTTCCGCGACGACCCACCGACGGAAGCGGCTGAGGACGAGGTAAAGCTGCTACCACAAGCTGCCAACACGACAAGGGTGGGACCAGAAAACCCGAAGGCCAGAGCGGTGGCCCAGACACAAATGCTAGAAACGGCCAACGAGACAATGCAGAATGTACGTCACAGTGCCCGAATCAGCGAAGTGACGCAACGGCGTCACCAAGCGGTAGCCGCACCCGAACTGAAACCACCGTTTCACCCAACCCGCGCGACGGCGCGACCGCATGACGCGGACAGCCCTTTCATGGAGGAGCCGGCCAAGACGATGAGGACGACGGCCGACCGCGGCGTCACGACGCGCGAATATGAGGACGACGCCGCCTTGGCCTACGACGTGTGCGTGAATGTGGCGGACGTGGACGATGACGTTCTTGCGAAATTCTGGGAGGCCATGCAGACGCCCGGCGAACTGGCTTGATGCGTGCAAGAAAGAGGTTAGCAACCTTCAACGAATGCAATGCTATCGTGTGGTGACCAAGCCGCATGGATGCCGCGCTCTCAAGAGCAAGTAGGTCTTCAAGCGCAAGGACATTCCCGATCGCTCCATGGCCTACAAGGCGCGAGTCGTAATCAAGGGCTGCGCGCAACGACGAGGGATCGACTATGACGAGCCGTACGCACCGGTCGTCCGCGGCGACTCGTTGCGGCTGACTCTTGCGCTCGTGACCAAGCGTGGAATGATGTGACGCGACCAACGCGTACATCCACGCGGATTCAGATCACATGCTCCACGTGGACAAGCCAGATGGCTTTGGCGATAACAGCGGACGCATCTGGGCGATCGACAGGGCCCTATATGGCATGAAGCAAAGTGCCTTGGTGTGGTACTTACGCTTCGAATGGCATCTTGGAAGACGACGGTTGTGTCTTCACGCGCCGGACCACGGTGCGCTTCAGATCATCACGATCTACGTCGAAGAAATCCTCGTATGCACGGACACGGACGAGGAGGTCGACGCGATCTTTAACTATATGCAGGCCCACATCCTCCTGAGCGACATGGGCCCCGTAGCCAAGTTGCTGGGAATGGAGATCGTCCATGCAGTCACTCAATTGTCCCTCCACCTAACACAGCCGCATCAGCTCCACGTGCACATGGCGCGCCGCGTTGTTGCCTACCTCTTGCACACAAAGACGGTAGGGCTCTCATTCACCGGCGGTCGCAGAGGAAGTGACAAGCTCGTCGGCTTCTCCGACTCGAGCTGGGCGGACGACTGCGCCACAGGAAGATCCACGTGTGGCTACTTATGGATGATGGCTGGCGACGCGAATCTCGTGGCGGTCCAAGCTGCAGGCCATCGGGACGCTGTCGACGGCCGAGGCCGAATATGTCGGCGCCTGTCTGGGTGCGCAACACGGCATGCACCTGCGTAACCTATTGGGAGAGTTAAGTCAAAAAGAGGACAAGCCGGTTGTGCTGTACTTTAGTTGACATGTCAGTTGCGAAGAGAAAAAACCTGTAAATACTTATTCAGTTAATATATTATTTTCTGCAATACCTCGTTCGTAAACAATACCCATGAAACTTTATAAATCTTGCATTGATTTGCAGAAAGGCGGCAAGTTGCAACAATAATGGCGCCAACTGAACTCGATGGCCGACGCACTGGGCGTCCTAGTACCAAGCAAATCAAGCGAATGCCCAAGAAGCACAAAAACCTCTACCATACCTACGAGAAAAAACGTCATATATTCAACTGGCGCAAAGAACATTCCATGGAGTCCGCCATCGACACGTTCTTCCCCGGTG